AGGGAATAGGTGGTACATAAGCTTTGATCGGTGTTGAAACCTTTAATGATGATGACTCATGTTCATCCGTCTTACTTTCCTCAACCAGTACCTCTTTTGGTTCTTGCACCACCTCATTGTGTTCAGCCGGTGCCTTGTTTGCTTGAGCTTAGGGGCGTACTACCGTGGGTTCAGTCAATTGAATCCCACTTCTGGTAGTAATGGCTTGCACATTCTCTCTAGGGTTTGTTTCAGTATTACTCGGTAAAGCCCTTTGAGGCCTTTCAGAGAGAAGTTTCGCAATCTGGCCCACTTGCCGTTCCAAATTTTTCAAAGAGGCATCATTGCGTTCTTGGTATTGCAATTGATGATTTGCAAATTTAGCAATTGAAAACCAAACTTCCACAACTAAAATTGCCCAAGTTAATACAATAGAAAATAGTCTTGATTATGAGAGGCTTTGATTGATCCCTGAAATTTCACTACTACCTTCCAATTGGTTCGATTTCGGTGAGCCCATTTTTCGGCAGCAATAGTTGCCGGGCGAAGCACGGTTATGTGTTGGGATCCAACTACTGGGGCAAGGGAATTGCCACTACGGCAGTGAAAATGGTGGGCAGCACCTTTTTTGTTGAGTGGCCGCATTTGGAGAGGCTTAAGGCAGTGGTGGGGATGTTGAAAATTTGGGCTCCCAAAGGGTTTTGGAAAAGGCAAGTTTCACAATTTGATGAGATGAACAGGTAAGCTCCAGTCCCACAGTCCCAATAAATCAGGAAAACAGAACGCATGCACCTAGAATTCATCAGTGCTAGGTACTGAAAACTCTACTTTAGTCTGTATGGTATAACTCTGAGGGTGGAGGTGGTGGAGAAGAGAGAGTTCTTGTTTTTGTTATTTTTAATATTTTCATAAGTTTCGAATTGATTTACACTTTTTAAAAAAATTAGGAGTAAAATTGCAATTTATTCTTGTGTTTCTTTTCTTTTCCTTTTTTTTAAAATTTAAATTGGAGGATATATCGGTCATTTTATGTCAAAAATTGGGGAAAATGACGTTTTACGCAAAAAAAGTGAAAGGTATGGATGTTCTGCGCCAAAAAATGAAAGGTATGGATGTTTTTCACACAAACCGGCAAAGGTAGGGACGTTTTGCGCCAATTACCCTAATAAATATCCAAAAATATCTCCTATTAAAAAAAAAAAAGATAATGCAAACTTATCACTTAACTAAGAAGTAAGCTTAGTTAAGTGGCTAAAGTCACAAGAAAATATCCAACTTGATAAATTGCACTACAAGTCCCAACTTTTGGCTTGTGCACTTTAGTCC